TTCTGGTGGTGACATATTATGAGAGAGGTAGAAGGATGAAAAGAATTGCAGTTGGTAGGATGAGAAAGAATATCAGGCAAAATAGAAACAGTGAGGAAAGTAATTGAGGGAAAAAAGATTTTGCTGAGTTTCTACGGCTGTTAGGTCCACTGAATAGAGATAAGTGACAATAAGCATATCCTTTAACTACCTTGTGCAATTTCCGTCCCCTGTTTCCCTCGATCGGTTATTACTCGCTTTGAGGTGCTTTCTTATCGATATCATTTTCACGGTAGTTTCTGCCTGTATAAAAAATAGATACTGGAAGAAGCGGAACGGTCACTGCATATGGCGGTGGTCATTACTTAGCGTTGCAATTAGCGATCCAATTATATTCCAAGCACATAGGAGTCGTGATACCTATAAATTCGATGCATTATTTGCATGTTAACACACTGCCACATATGAACTTATGCTTTCACATATATTAATGTCGTGGCATATTAAAAATGATGGATCCTGAAATACCGTGATCGGCAAAAATCCGTTCTGAGGAGGTATGCGTAGACGTAGCCAAAGAAATGATCACCTCCAGCATGAGCTTAATACATAAATGTCGTACTGTATTAACGTCGCACAACCGTTGTATGTAGAACTGATTATCTGTTTAAGATAAGCGTGACCCAGGGCGCCGATTGCCGTAGCACAGTTCCACATTTTGTTTTCAAACTCGAATAATTCAACTAATTTTTTCGGCTAAGAGTCTTCAGTCATGGAATCAGATTTCGCACTGTTTAAATTACTATCTGATACATTATAAAAGTCATCGCAGCATCTAAGTCTGTTCTCGAAGAGTTTCTCTAGATGGTAAGTCATATCACCAATTCCAATTCTTCTCTAAGCTAAAAATTAAACAAATTTAGCATCAGTTTCAAAGTTAAAACTTGCAAGCATTCTTCTTACGATCATCATTTTATAATCTATAATGCTTATGAATTCCTTGCAACGATACTTGTTGCAACTTGAAATATGTTAGGTGGATAAAAGAATAAAATATACCATTAGATTTAATGCAACAATCGAAATTTGATTGTTAACGGGTTTGTACTGAGGCCAGAGGTGGTTTGCAGCTGATGTACCTGACTCGATTTAACTCAGTAATATGTCGAGCATGTTCATGCTCTGAGTCAAATTTGGGTTAGCGTACCTGATTCGTTCCCTATTGTAATATGTTGGCATAAAGTTGAGGCGTGTTCGAGCGAGAAACCTACCTCATCGAAGGAGCGGCGATTGTCGGTCGAACACTCCGAGAATTTTGACTGAGATAAACACATACTACCATAAAATAAAACCGCTAGAAAGTGGTAAATAAGCTGAGCAATTAGAAACACATTCCATCACGTAAAATATTGCAATTGAGACTCGGCTGAACCGTAAATTTTAGATTCCAACTTCACAAATAACCCATAGGCTGACACTTGATTTCGGTGGAACTACTGTAAACAATCAAACGTAGCATACATCATATGGGCTTACTTTCTAAGGTCTAATATTGTTGTATTCAGTTTGTTTACTACAACTGTACTGTTACTTACTCTGACTTTTCTTAGGGCATATGTCTTGCAGTTTTGTTGAGAAACATATTTCTCTAGTGGTCCCTATTCTTCCGTGGAAAATAAACCCTACTGCTCAAGTTTTCACTTGCTGATAATCTATGAAACACGGAGGGACCACTGTCAAGTCCTAACGGCCCCCTCCACCTTTAGTTTAACACTTCGTTGAGTAACATAATGTCCCATTCGATTTTATTTTCTTGGCATTTCGGCCAGTGATCAGCAATTATACCCTGCCAACGTTAGCAATCCGCATTAGCTCCAATTCTTAACTTGGGAACTCGCTCCCCTCCGCCTTCTTACCTGGCTAGCTGTCTTCGCCAGCAGCAATAAAGCAACTCACGAATAAGAGCCTCGTTTTCAGCTGCGATTTTACGCTAAACGATTTGACCATAACTCATCGATGCTCAGGGATTGGCGTGTTGCTTCTTACACTTATCCTAGTATATTTCTAGTTTTCATACGGTTTAATCTCCCAAAGGCCATGTACACCGCTTAGAGAACCCACTGCCACCTACCTACCATTTTCATGTAGTGACATATAACTATAAGCAATTACACGAAACAAAAGGCTGCATACCCACGCACGCGCAAATGAAGATGATCTCAGATAATCGCTGGTTTCTATGTCCTTCACAGGACTGAGAGACACCTTATAAGTTTTAATTTTAATAACTTATCAACACCCAGTTTCTAAACGCCACAACAGAATAACCTGCACCAGCTCTGGTGCATTTTGTACACAAAACATAAGAACGAAGAAGTACGAAGCAAGGCGCCGCTTCTGATCGAACTGCGAAGCACCTGTTGTGACCAAAATAAAAGAACACATGCGAGAAATCTATCACAAGACCACGTCTTGACCTCTAGATGCAATGAAGGTTACATAAAAGCGATGCTAGCGTGTCATTCAGCGCAGCATTCAATGACATGAAAATCGCTTGACGACAGAACTGTATCAAAAATGGCAGAAGACGATCTGATATCAATTCAAAACAAGAGTCGTTCTTTCACAACGTCGTCCTCTGACGGATCTGACTTCGACTGCCGCTGCAAGTACTTTAAGCGGTTGGCATCGATCAGCTCCTGACGCCTCTGTTCGAAAGCGGTTCGCCACGCCGAAGGATCTGTGAATAGCGTCTGTATGTCAGTCTAAACGAGTTCAGCGGTTAAATACTTTTAACAAATTGAACTGAACCATACTTTTCCAGCCAATGACGATGGTTTTTTACTGAAAGGTTTCGCGTTTTCTTGTTGCAATTGAGAATTTTTTATCCCTATAAAATAATAGCCGTCAAAAGCTAGATACTTACTATGACCTAATAATAATTCTCAAGCATGACTAATTAATAATGCTTAATTAACAGCAGAAATTTTCAAAAAAGGTATGCAAGAAAACAGCGAAACAAAAAGAATTTGCGCTAAACTCGCAAAGCCGTACTTATCTGTTCCCTCTGGTTAAATAAATAGCGCTTAGTAAATTCGGCAGCGTCGTAGGCGTTGAAATCGGTTGGACAAAGGTCTCCCGCTTTGGCCATTGTCTGCCTGACACGATGAGAGAAGCTGTCGCTCGTCTCGTCATCATGCTTTACAACGGCATCCAGCCACCTTCAAAAACCGAGTGAAACAAATGAAAGCTATAAGAATAGAAAGTTCAAACTTAATGCGCAAAATTGTGAAAGGCACGAACAGGAACCAAAACACATCGTTCCACCATCGGCTCCCAACCACCGTCTAGAAAATGTAAACTTTCATTGAAACACTGTCCAATAAAGAGTAAAATAATTTCTACAGTTTTAAAGCCAAGCACAATTTCAAACAAAACGAACTACTGATTAACTTTTATTTTTAGAAACGTGACAGATACTGGTAACTTGCATATGGATTTCCATTTGGCATTCAGAAAGTATCAGTAGATGGAAAAGCAGTAATATTCGGTCTAATATTCTTTCTCGTTTTTGTTTAACTCAGATAGTTGATGTCATTTCCAAGATGGTCCTCAGATCTAGCCTTCACAGTGAATCAGAACATTGACCTATTTAAACACACATGCATTCATAAGGGTCCTGTTTGGACAATTTCATTCATCGCGCTGATGACTCAAAAAATTTCTACACATCGATTTAATGGACATCTGGAGTCTACACAGGAAAATAGCACCAACATGCAGTAGTGATTAATTAAGCTTTTCATTAAATTAATTTGATTGACTTATCAAAAGTACATTCAATTTTACCCAATCGAACAAAGAGC